GATTTGCAAGGAAGTATCGGTTTATTCAGATGTATCCCATGTTTTTCGACATCTCCCAGCAAAAAAAGATTCATCAAGTATTTAATAAAAAATTGCAGGTGCTTTACAAGTACAGTCAGTTTTCCTGAGAAAAGCAAGTTGCTGCGCTGAGAATGCAAGAGCTTCTACTGATTTGGTCCAGTGGGGTTTCTGTGAAAGCTGTTTCTTTGAGTAAATCTAGGGGCTTTTTTTTGAATGCACTAGGAGTACTATCTAGGCTGGCTGTCTGTAAACACGATAGCCATAATGGAAAAGCAGTAAATCAGTGTTGAGCATCGTTTCAGTTTAACAAAGACTCTCGCACTGTAGAAATATTCAGCTCGTAGAAGACGTGTTTCACTTGCCTTGCAAGCTGCTCAGGGGCTTTGTTCACGGCCACTGGATAGAGCTTCTAAACGTGGTGACCAGTCTGGACAGAACGACTGCATGCTTGATTCACAGATACTGTTTCTTTAAAATGCATTTTGATTTTAGCTCTGTGTTTAGTACAAGTAATTTGATTGGAGTTGAGGAGAGCTCCCGGAGTTGCTGAGTCTCAGAGGGTGTGTTGGGATTTGTCTAGGAGGAGGAGGAAAGCTAGAACTACAAGTGAAGGTTTTTGCTTGTGAAAGGTATTAACTAAAATATTTCTGCTTTCCTTTTACATAGGTCTTCAACGAAAGTTCTCTATTTTTGGTTTCTCCTTGTATAATTTATTTTTGCACTTTATTTATGTCCCATAGAATTTGTTCATGTTCTCTCTTAGTTGCAATCTACAGATGATGCCTTCGGTCACTTTTACCGTGTGCTTATTTGGCTGAGAAGGCATCTTCGTTTCAAGTGTTGATTAACATCTGCATGTTTCATTGCCGTTTCTCAGGAATACAGATTTAGGTTCAGAGATGAAATTGCTCGTGAGAGTGGGGAGAACAATATTTAATTGAAAAGTAAATTATTTGGTAGATTTTTGTCTGTGGTATTGTCGCGATCGCACAAAGCAGTCTCCGGGTTCTAAAAGGATGACCTGTATTTTATTTTTCTAAATAACAGGAGAAACCTAAACAGATTTTATTTTGAGTTGACGCTCTTTAGCTAATGAACAAATGCAAGACTAATTTTCATCTGCCACACAATAAGCAGAAACCTAGAAGTTGTTAAATGTCGTGGAGAGATTGAAACACTCACTTCATGTTCTACGGATACGTTCTTTAACACACACTAAGAGCCGTAAGAATTAGTTGAAGAATGACCTCCAGTGGCCTGGAGTGGGATTATTATGAATTTCATCCGGTGGAGACCAGCTCTGTAGAGTACGCCACCCCGGGAGCTAACTCCTTCCTTCTCCCAGCCAATACCGAAAACTCTTACTGGGATCCCAATGCCATCTCTGAATGGTCAATGAGTATCCATACAGCACACACCTCAGAAATAGTCAAGGAGAAAGTGGTCCCGGTGAAGGAAATCAAGGACGAAAAAGATAAGAGAAACCAGAAGAGAAAGGCTAGGAAGGAACCTAGAAGATCAGAAAGAGAGAAGGAGGTTAGAAGTCTTGTGCATCAACCCTGCCTTGAGCTTGCCGTCTCCCACGGCTGCATGCTGTGCGTCCTTGGCCTGGCCGTCTGGCATGACCGAGCTCTGGAGCGGTGCATGGTTGCATGGCGGGCTTTGCGCTGGGCGCTTCTGCATCGCGTTTCCTGCCCTGTGTGCGCTCTCTGGAAATCTGACTGGGAAAACAAGGGCATTGCAAACAAAGGCCCGAGGCCGCGAAACTTCCCTTCTGGAAGTTCCAGTTTGAGAAGCAGAAAACGAATTTCCAATGGAACGATAACCCAGGGTTCGTAACCATTTCGAGCCGAATGTAAATATGCAAAGTGGCTGATTCCTGTACTCCCGTTTCGGTCTCCTTTAACCTGTAGTTTGTTTCATTCATTATTATTTTTGATCATTTCTGCTGGTTATACATCATCGTTTACCGTTCCGAGCAAAGTTCTGCCATGTATCATGGTGACTGCCTTTCTTTAGCGAAGGAGGAGGAGGGCAGCACGGTGACGCGGAGAAACATCGGGGCACATTCAGGGGCCTTTGTGTAGAGCTGCTTCCCGACAGCCACGTGAATTGAGTGCTTCGGTCTCACAGTGTAAGATTTTGCAAGTGCCGTCCAGCACTTTGTATCAGAGACTGAAGGTACGAGTCTTGGCTGGCTGTTTTGGTGCAGTTCTCCTGTAGCGAGACAGCGTGGTGATTTCTGCAAGCATGGAAAGACAGTGAGGAGGCACAGCGTGTCACTGGAGCGGAGTTCTAAAGGGGATCGTACAACCCACGGACGCTCTGGAGAGTAGGAGTGCGCAGGAAAACAAAATACGGTGGTTACAGTATTTTTTAATCGGAGAAAGGAAACTAGTTACAAACCGGTGTAAACCAAATCTCATTAACTTCGGGCAGTAGAGTCTATAAGAGAGGCTCCAGTGACGCAGGAGAGCTGGCAGAACTACTACTGTCTACCTGAAATCCTTCTCTAAGTTGCTTGTGTTTGTTTCTTTTTCCCTGGGGGTGAACTTTGGATGTGAAATAGATGCCTCTCCAGTTCCGAGGTGCCTGGTCCCAGGGGTTGCACCCACTGCTTTAAGTTAGTCACCAACTGAGGAAACTCGAGGAGGTGATTGCAGACACCGGGACACCAAGCGAGCGCCACCAGCCTAGCCAACACGGCAGCGATAAAGGGTAGTGCCAAAATCCATGGAGGAGGGCAAGATTTAGGTATCTGCCTTTCTTCAGGACTCCCGGCCTGTAACCCCCTCCTGAAGGCAGGTGTTTAGGCTCTCCGTAAGGAGCATGGTTTCACCCTCGGGAAGCGTACCTGCTGGCGCTGGGCCTTGCTGTGCGACAGCCTTGTCAGAGGTCGAGCTCTCGGGATGCGCGGTCCTGCATCCTCTGCACCGCGGCACGCGTGCTCCCAACCAAGCTCCCCAGCATCTCCCTCTCTCTAGCCCAGTGGCTACCGAGATTTTTCTTTCGAGTGGAGCACTTTGAACACAGCAGTGCTCTCTCGTGGGCAGACAAGCTGGGCGAGCACCGTAACCTCTGGGCCGCTGCGGAAGATCCAGCAGCCAGCTCCTTCCCGGCCTCGTTTCGAAGGATGGTCGGCATCCCTGCGACTTGCGTGGAGCTTCTTCCAGCAAGCGTGCGACGAGGGTGCTCACGGGGCGAGGGGAGGGGAGACACCTGCTTTGGGGCCTGCGCAGGGCAGGGTGTGTGCTACACCACGACCTGGGTGCCGCCATGGCAGCGGCACCGTGTGACAATTGTGCAGCTGAGATGTCCGGGACCTTGGAGTGGAAATGCCAGAGTTTGAGCTGCTGTCAGGGCTAGGCCGTGGCCGAGGAAGGGGATTTAAGATGCACCAGGGTAGACTCAAGTGCCTGATTTCTCCAGGCCTCACTTAAGCACCTAAGTGTCTTTTTGGCTTCGGGCCCACACCTACATTTAGGCAGAACCTGTTGTTTCTCTCAATGTCACATTTGCGTGAGGCAGCACTGGAGTTGTCTCTCTTCACTGCCGCTGGTCTGCGGTCTGTTCCTAAGGCATAACTCACTTATAAATGGGATCATAAATCGTGCCCAACGTAATAGTCTGGGCAGTTAATATGCATTTACCGGTGTAATTGCTCTCCAGGCCTCTGAAGCAGCCCACTAACGCCTTGCTGAAGGCAGAACTCCGATGAGTGCTTTCAGAGAGGGTTATTTTGGCAATTAGTAAAAAGAGGCAGTGATTACAGTGTCTGAAAATTCACGCTGTGAAAAAAACATAACTTCTCTTTTTTTTCTGACTTCGTGAGAGGCAAGATAGGGGTTTGCTCCTCTCCCGCTGGGGAGGGCAGGCAGGTTAGAAACGCAGCAGCACAGGCACAGTTAGGGCTGTGCCATCTGTGGCTGGGTGGTTCTCACACAGAGGCGGTTGCGATGTGGTGGTTCAGCTTCCACAGCACCGCAAGCAGTTTAAGGTTACCCTGTGTGCCAAGGTCCGAGGGAGCGGTCAACCAAGGTCCTGCTTTGCTGGCTGACGGGCCTTAGGGTGTAAAAAAAAATTGACGCCTGCTGTCTCTTCACTGGGAGCTGCCTCAGTCCAGGTGAGGCAGGGTTTCAGATATCCTTTGGCAACCCCTGTTACATGGATGAGATATTTATTTACCTGTTCAGGGTGCTGGTTGGACCTTAGGTGCTTGGCTCTCCCCATGCTTGTGTACGGAAGAACATAGGATGACAGAATGGTTTGCACTGGAAGGGATCTTAAAGACCATCCAGTTCCAACCCCCCTGCCATGGGCAGGGACACCTTCCACTAGACCAGGTTGCTCAAAGCCTCACCCAGCCTGGCCTTGAACACTTCCAGGGATGGGGCATCCGCAGCTTCTCTGGGCAGAGGATGCCAGCACCAAAGCTCACACCTGGGGCATGAGGCATCTGGTCCTGCCACCTGCAGGACTTGTGTCCCTTCACCTACCTGGGACTCCATTTCGGGGACTGGATTATAGTATGGGACAAAGCTCAGGCGTGGCTGAAGCTGTCTAGTGCTGCTCCGCAGCCCTGGTGAATGGCCTCCCAGCACCTGGGCTGAGTTATCCAAGAGAGACCTCTTCCTGCAGCAATAAGGTATGATTCCCACTATCCAAATGTGTGTTTTTAAGTTAACTGAGATGCCATTAGAAGTACCTGCCATATCAACAAACACCAAAAAGCTGACTGGCCTTTGACCTCACAGCAGTTACCGTGATGGGCTTGGGCTGACGACAAGAACAGCCTTGATTTAAACTGTCCCAGCAAGAAGATCCTTAATTAGAAACTTCATCCAATACAATCCATTCCTGCCCCCCAGTTGGGTCTTCTCCGTGATCACTTTTCCGGGCTGGAAAGAAGTAGGAACCAACCATTCATTGTTCAAGCTCCATCCATCACAGTGGCAGATACTACCTTGTTTTAGTCTTTATTGTAGTATCTTCTGTAGTTTTGCTAGTGCAGCAATACCTGTCGGCAGGGGTAGGTTGGTGGATTACTTTCACAGAATCACAGAATGGTTTGGGTTGGAAGGGCCCTTAAAGACTATCCAGTTCCAACCCCCCTGCCATGGGCAGGGACACCTTCCAGTAGACCAGGTTGCTCAAAGCCTCATCCAGCCTGGCCTTGAACACTTCCAGGGATGGGGCATCCACAGCTTCTCTAGGCAACCTGTTCCAGTGCCTCACCGCCCTCTCCATGAAGAATTTCTTCCTGATATCCACTCTAAACCTCCCCACTTTCAATTTAAACCTGTTACCCCTTGTTCTGTCACTACAGGCCCTTGTCAAAAGTCCCCCCCAGCTACCTTGTAGGCCCCTTCCCCTTCAGGGTAGTCAGATTAAGGCATCTTTGGACTGTCCACGTTACCCATTGCTGCAGCAGCTGTGCCAGTCATCAGTACCACGCCTTACCTAAAAGGGGTGTTGAGTTCTTCCCCGGCTTGTTAGCAAGCAGGTTTCTGTGCAGTAACGGTTACTGGAGACTCTCTGACACTTGCGCTTGTGAGATGGCATGATTTTGGTCATTTCCCATAACATTTTGGCTATCTTTAAATTTGGAACAAATACACAAGTTCAGAAAACTTGCAGTTCTGCCAGTTTTCCAATTCTTAGTGTTTTTCTGAAAGTCCTAGTTTTGGGACTGTCTTCGTCCAAAATCTCTTGAAATACTTTTCCAGTCTTAACAGGGACAAAAACACAGAAGTATGTAACCTCTAGAGACAAAACATAGATAGAGAATTTAAAAAAAAACCCTTTCCAACACAAATCTCTTAAATCTCATGATTATAAGCCAGTGTAACGATATACTGGTGGTGGGAGTCGGCACTGAAGGGGTTGTCGAAAGTTTGTGGTTGGCAGTGCTTATTTTTCCCCTGTGGATTAATAACTACCTTGGTGTGATTAGCATAAAGAACCCCACCAAGAGCAATTTTTAAGTCAGCTGCTAATTGCCTCTGAGAACAAATTATTCAAATTACCCAGTTATCTGAAGACTTGCAGGCGGTAGGACAGGGAATACAGAACTTCCTTTAGTTTTAGTGTTTAATATAATGTGGTATTATCCGGTAAAGATTTGTAGCAGAGGAGTTGTCTATCTTATTTAGGATAGAAATTTAGTATTTCTATCTATTTATCTTCTTGAAAGCTTGGTGTGTTTATTTTTTTTTTTCCCAGGATACATTGCATATCTCTGCCCTTTGTGTAGTTTTGGTGACCTTTATCTAGAGAACAGAAACAGACTGGTTTCCCACTCGCATTGTTCATCCCCAAAAAAGGCTGTGTGCAGCTCTGAAGCTGGGCTTTGTGCCTGGACTCACAGGCTCTGCTTCAGCATTGCCTGGTCAAAGCAACTTCGAAGGAGAGCCAAGACTGGTTATAGAATCACAGAATGGTTCGGGTTGGAAGGGACCTTAAAGACCATCTAGTTCCAACTCCCCTGCCATGGACAGGGACACCTTCCACTAGACCAGGTTGCTCAAAGCCTCATCCAGCCTGGCCTTGAACACTTCCAGGGATGGGGCATCCAGTTGTGGAGCTACTGCAGCTCAGTTTGCCATCAGTCGGTGGCCAACAACCCTTGGCTGCTGCTGCATCAATCCTCCTGTTCCTGCTCCTGTGTTGTGGTCTCCCCAACACGCACATGAAAACACACAGAAACACCTCGATGGGCAGGGCCAGTAGCTTGTGTCTCCATAGCTTTCGGTTTCTGGAAGGTTTATAGGAAACTTATCTGGGGTTCTCTAGCTCAGCAGGTAAGTTCAGCAGCTGTTAAAGGGGAGATAGATGGGCAGGAAGACAAGATGACCACATCAGCATAATTTCTTTTGGAAACTTGGCCGTAAAGGAAGTAACTGATGTAAGAAACTTGCGTGTTGCTGCTACGTGGCAGGTCATTGAGACATGAAAATCGTTTGGACCTCAGGATCACTCAGTTGCTTGAATGAAGTAAGTTGGTGGGCTTGTGGCTGTGGTCCTCATCATGAAAGTGCCTCCACTCATAGCACCAATTAGTAGATTCATCAGAGGCGCTGACGAGACTGATCTCTTGTCATGGTCCTTGTCCTCAGCGGGGCGGATGGAGCTATCGGAGCCAAAACAGGAGAGCTTCACCCCGTAAAAATGCTGAAGGATCATGGTGAAGAATTCTGACAGCCTGTAATTCCCTGTAGTTCCCTACAGCTGATGTTGACTGTTGGACACCTTCGTGCCCCCTGTGTTGGACGCACTGCCATCTAAGGCTGCCGCGGTTTTGGAACGCTCCAGCACTGTACGTGGGATTGGGATGACTTGCCGACTTCCGTGAACAGTTGGGCTGCAGCTCTCTGATACTTCCAATAGCTTCATTAGTCTGGGGGACTTCAGTGATGGCTGTTGACGGGGCTTGTCAGGGCTGTTTTCAAAGGCAGCTGGGATTTAAACGGCACGTGTGTTGCAGGTGCGGCCCCTGCATGCGTTACGTGTGTTTGCGCTCCGCCAGACTGAGGCGAGGACGGTGGCGATTGCAGGTTTGCTTCTCTCTGCAGGGCGATCAGACAGCGCTGCACCGGGCTGCGGTCACCGGGAACATCGATGTCATAGCGGCTCTGATTCAGGAGGGGTGCGCTCTGGACAGGCAAGACAAGGTAACAGGCGAAGCCCTGTGGGATGGCAGCCTTGCCAGCCACTGATCTGAAGGTCTCAGAGAGAAAGTTGTGCTTTATACTCCTGAGGAAGTGTCTGATGCTTTGAAAGTAATCGGGAACAGTTGCATTGAAAAAAAAGTTTTGCCATCTCTTTAGTACCTGTTACTGATTTCGTTATTTTTGTTGTATTGGGCTGATAGTTTTTGGTTTAAGAGTCTGGTCTCAGCTCGCTAAAGGAGGAGTTAAAGAAAGGTACAACCATACTGTACCCTACGCAACACACTGCATGGTCTCCCTTCCTTATCCCTGAGACTGAGAATCTCAGGCTGTAAATTTAAATTTGAGGGGAGATAAAACTAATTCCAAGATCCAAGCAAAAGCTTTAGAGCCGTTCTCTGCTTGCTAAGAGATGTGGGGAAAAGTGGAAGATGGAAAGAGGTTGAAGATGGAAGTAGTAGAGAGGAAGAAGTAGCTGGGGTGTCAGGAGAAGTGTTTTAATCCGGTGTGTATCTGCCTCTGATGAAAATAAAGCAGAAAATCAGGAAGCAGGAAAGGAAACCGATTTATTTTCCGGGCGAGCAGGCGGGGCATGCAGCTGCTGCGTTCTGCATGTAACGTTACCCTGCCACGAGGACGCGGCGCGCTAACCTTCTCCTCTGGTGTGTCTGCTCTTCAGGACGGGAACACCGCCCTCCACGAGGCTTGCTGGCATGGGTTCAGTCAGTCTGCCAAGGCGCTCGTCAGAGCGGGAGCCAACGTTCTTGCCAGGAACAAGGTGAGACCCCTGCAGGAGGAGCTGTCGGTTCTGGGCTGAGGCGGCTGACTCTTAGCGCTGGAGATTTCTGGCCATGGCAGTTCTCCGCAGGTGCGGGACCAGCTCCTAGTGGGACCTCTTCCCTTTCCCTTTCCCTTTCCCTTTCCCTTTTCCTTTCCCTTTCTCTCTTTTTTTCATTTCTTACT